GACAGAATGAGCTTGCAGTCTAGAGGGCGAAGAAGCGCCTTCAAAGCATCGACAGCAGCCGTCTCCGACGGCGTCACCTGCGAGGGGCCCACCCCATGAAACCCAGACAGGTCACGGCACCAGTAGAAGGGAAACCTCGACAGCCCGCCAAAATAGAACCCCCCATCCTCCAAAGGGTCGACATCGACAAGAGTAACCCGAAAAAACTCTTGCCTATAGTTTTTATACGATTAGGAATAGGGAGTAAACAAACCCCCTTCCTTACCCCCATTCAAAGAAAGCGTCCCGTACGGCGGGGCGCCCGCCTTCAATTGGTAGAAAGAGAGGAAAACCCGAAGGGACACCTCCACCCCTAGAACCGTGCATAAAACCTCGAACGCCCTCAAAAAACCCCAACTGTTGGGATGCAACTGACTGGGGGCCGCATTAACGTAGTTCAAAAAGTCACATTCGAACTGTGTCAAAGGAAGGCAGACACCCAAGTCCCTGAAAAAACTCTGATACATATAAAAGGAGGGGGAACCAACGGACCTCTTCATATACACACCTTCACTAGCCGAACAAGGCTCCAATCGGATCATCTGAGAAATAGAGGGGTCACAAATCTTATGCGTCTCCCAGAGCGCATCAACCTCCAAACTCGAGTCAAAAACGCTTGCAAACTTGGCCATTTCTCGTTTTACCCATTCGTAGCCAGGGACACCCAACTCTAAGTCCCCGGGCGGAGGCACCTCCTTTCCCTCAGCGGCGCCCCTTCCGGTAACCACCGCCTTACCGCGTGCTTTGCCCCTAGCAGGGGCAGTAGAACCAACGCCATGACCACCAGCCATCAAGAAAACTCAAAGAAACACAAGAAAGATAAAGAAAACAGAGATATGGAGCAGACGAAGACGAAGCGTGCACAAGAAGTTGAAGGACGAAGAAAGAGTAAAGCGAAAACGAGAAGAGGCGCGGGAAAAAGAAAAAACCTGTTCCCAAAGTTCAAAACGGCCAGGCCACGGGTCGACCGAGGGGGAAGGCTGATGACACATTAATTGCAACCCATCATTGCATAACCGTCATTTCCCTTAATGCGCCACTTGCACGTTTCCGGGAAATGAACAGTCGCGACACATAGCAAACCCTCAAGTGGCGCAAGTGGAAAGCTACTTCCCACTGGCGAGCCCGGTCTCAGCTCCTCGACCTACGATCTTCAGAGCTCGGGGGGCTAGTGTACTAACCGTACTTCGTACCCGGGCTCCGAGCCCGGATTAGCAATACAAAACAACCCCGGGCACGCGCTGCGCGACGTCAGCCCGGTATTTGAGCAAATCATACCTGATTCCGAGGATCTCGTCCCAGACCAGATCCGCCATTCAATTATATCATATCATATCATGATATATCTTATCTCAAGCCCAAAAGCCCAAGGTAAACCTAGATCATCCCAAGGTACGTGCATTATATATATGAGACTATTACTCATGTAAACGCTAATTTTGGCATCAGAGTCTCTTTTGCAGGTACCTCCCCCATCTTGGAGCACCAACACACCGGGCAAAGGAGACTCACCTATCTTACTGGACAGACCAGCTCTACAGCAGATTTCCGGTAAGAACAACAATCTTTATTTTTTTAATAGTTATCAAACATGAAAGATCAAAATTTTTAATTTAATATTCTTATAAATATAAAAATATTTTGTGTATCAAAATTTTCCTTAGAACCTCCTTATCGTAATAAAACTATGGCCGAATTGATATCATATAAAATTATTATTATTATTAAATAATATAAAATAATATTAAAAATTTATAATATTGAAAAAATACATGATTTTATTTTTATGTATTCTTAACATTTAAAAGTATATAGAAATATTTAAATTAAATATATTATAATAATTTAAGTTTTAATAATTCAACATTTACTACTAATAATAAGTTTATATTTAAAATAGTAAAAAAAATTAACAAATACTCTACGTTGATTTTTTTTAAAGAGAATATTAAAAAATGTTTTAAAAAATTTATTGACCCGCTGAAAATTGGTTTTTCAACTGTTCTTGACCAATTTTGCATTTATTGGCCAATTTCATTTTATTAGGCTTGTTTCTTTAATAGACTAGTTCTCCCATTTTTTGATCGAACGGCCAGTCTAGTCTAATTTTCAAATCGTTGATAAAAAAAAACATTGTCAAATATATATAATAAAAGTGTATTAGTAAATGAAAGTTAAGTTATTTACTATTTCACTCCTATCCCTAGGGCGTTAATTAAATTTGATTTATTATAAACAAAGAATTCTTCTATCTCAATTTTATATTTGTTATCTTTTTGTTTTTTCTTTTTTTCCTCGTTATATTACTTATTATATTTTCTCTATATTTTTTCTTATTTTACTCGTAATTAACCTCATTTTAGAGTGAAATTTTAGTATTATATTTTTCTTTAAATTTACCATGATGCAATACCACTTCTAGAAGTGAGAAAAGAAAAGGAAAATACGAATGTTCAGCCCCAATTTAAGGGTGAACTACGGTGAGAGAAGTGGGAGAAAAAAAATAAAATAAAGGAAAATTTGGTAGATTTAATAAAGAAAAAAAGTTTAGAAGAAATGAGATAGAATAAATTATAGAAGAATGAATATAAGTAATGGAAGAAAAACTACTTATAACACTAAGCAGGAATTAAGTGCAGTATCAGGCCCACTTGCACACAATTTTGTTCCAACATCATTAAAGGCAACCAAGTACTTCAGTTTTCTTTGCTTTATTTGTAACAAATTAGATGCATCGGTTAAAAAAAATTATTAATAATAATCAATAATTTATAACATATATATAAAGAGAATAATTTAATTTTATTTATATATATATATATATATATAATTTTATTTTTAAATTTTTAAATAATAAAAAATAATATTAAAAATTAATTATTTTTACAAAAACAAGACTTAAATATGAGATTTTGAAGTTTGATTATCAAGTATAATATTAATTAATCTAACAAATATAAATAATTTTTAAATATTTTTATTAAATAAAATATAAAAATATAAAATGTCTCAATTTTACTGATTATAATTAAGAGAATTGAACTTTTTGGTGTACACACTTTTTTTTTCAATTTTACTCTTTATAATTATTCTTTTATAAATTACAAAATTTTTATTCTTTTATGTAAATTTCACTTCATAACTACGTATTATTTATTATTATATAATTTTTTATTATTTATTAGTTTTTAAAAATAATTGGACACAAAATGCGGTTTTCCGCTACTAATAAAGTAATGGAAATGCTGCAGTGGAAAAACAAGGAATAGACGAAACTACCATACCCAACCCATTGCGGACACAATACGGATTTTGCTTCCATCGTTTTCCAAAGCACACGACGTGTCTCACTTTATTAATTTTTTTTAAATAAGATATAACTATTTTTCATTGAATTCAGTACATAATGTCTCTAAACCAAAATTTCAACTTCAAATTTTAATTAAAAAACATAAGTTACGAACTACTCTCATAAAATTATAAAAGTTTAATATATTTTTATTCTTTAAATTTAAGATAAATTTATTTTTAATCTTTTAAATTTAAAATTATTATTTTTA